TTCAACGAACAATACCAACCTAAATAACATTTGCGTGGGTCGCACAAATACTCAAACTGTCAGAATATGGGTAATTAGAAAAGAAATGGCGAGGCAAAATCTCGCACGGTCCTAGCACTAACAATTCGCCCTGAGGACACGGTGGAACACACGGTGGGAGAATGCCCTTCGTGGGCTGAGCACCGCCGTGTCCTCAGGGAAGTGATCGGCGATGGCGACCTCTCGCGTCCGGGCCTAGTGCAGGCCATGATGCGGAGCGAGGGGGATTGGGATGCCGTCTCCTCCTTTTGCGAAGCAGTCATGCTAGCTAAGGAGGAGGCGGGACGCGTGAGGCAGCGAAGCGCTGCCTCCTCGCAACCCAGCCATCGCGAAGGACACACCGGGCGTCGGGGATCGCGGGACGATCTCCGGCCACCGTAAGCGCGGGCCTGCGGACGGCGAGCATGGGTGGCTCCCCGTCCGACCAGAAACAGACCCGAGCGTACGGCGCGTCGCGTTCCGCGCGCGCCTCAAAGAGCCATCAGACCACCACAGATGGGGCCCAATAGGGCCGATGCCGATTCGGAGTCGCGGAGAACCTAACGGGTAACCGGGGCTCCGGCTCGACGTGCAGGAGAAGGAACGGGGTGGTTTTTAGTCAGTAAGAGTCTGACACTCCCTCCCGCCTCACCCAGGCGGGGGCAGTCAATCGATGATTTTCCCCCCTTAAAAAAAAAAAAAAAAAAAAAAAAAAAAAAAAAACTACCTATATGTCACTAACGTCAACATGACCTGTGTGGACATTACAACATTTTATTCCCAAGCCCGACTATCATCTAGGTAATCTTTTAATTTATAAAAAGCTTTACTATAAAGTTTATCTTTAATGACAGTTTTTAATATATTTAGACTTAAATTTAGGATATAGCTGGGAATCTCATTGTAAAAGCGTATACTCTGACATCTAAACGAACCACTTATTTTCTTAAGTCTAGTAGTGGGAACAACATATTTGTCCTTATTTCTTGTGTTGATATTATGTATATCACTATGCTTTTTAAATAAACTTTTGTTTTTATGAGCATATACTACATTTTCATAAATGTATTGAGAGGCAACAGTCATTACATTCATTTCTTTAAATAGTCCCTGAGAGAGTACCTCGGACTAAGATTATAAATTGATTGAATGGCCCTCTTCTGCAGAACAAAGATAGACTGAGTGTCAGCAGCATTCCCCCATAGGAGAATACCATATGACATGACACTATGAAAATAACTAAAGTATACTAATCGCGCTGTATCAACATTGGTTAAATTTCTAATTTTTTCAAGAGCATATGCTGCAGGACTGAGCCTTTTCGATAACTTAGCTATATGTGGAGCCCACTGGAGCTTAGCGTCTAAGTTTATACCTAAAAAGACAGTAGAATCTACAGGGCTCAACTCCTCACCCTTAATTAGCACGCTGGTTTTCACTTTTCACATGTCTAACATTTGGTGTTGTGAATTTAATGCATTTAGTCTATCAACATGTTTACTATAGGAGACTTTATTAACCCGTTGAAATCCACCCCCTAATTTTGGTCATACAAAAGTAGTCTCTAAACATTACAAATAAGGTCTATAATGTAATGTAATATTAGTGGAAAGCGGTCACCGGTGACCGCTTGGTGATTTATGGGTTTGATCTGAGTAACCCGCGATTTTTAGTTAATTTAGTATATGTCATGATAGTTATTATAAAAACTCAGTTATCCAAATATATCTTTGAGATAGTAGAGAGAAATATCTCTAACAGCATGAATGGGGTTGCAACATATGACATTTTAATAGCTTCAGTAAGGATGCATGCAGAGTTTTGATTTTGGCCTCTTAAACTGTTAAACACCGAGCGGTCACTGGTAACCGCAACCTATTGTTCTTTAATTGTGTCTATAATGACGGTACTCAACGAGTCAATAAGAAAGTTTGCTCACTACCAGGTAAAGTATCATTGCAAGGAATTAATATTCCTTGCACTAAACAGTCATACCAGGAGGTCTCCTGAGGTCAGGTGCCGGAGGACGAGGAGGCGCTCCCACATGCAAACCTACGCCCGCCTCATTCACACGCATGCGCCGTTGTCGCTCACAGTATGCGCTCCAAGTTACTTCATTGAAACCATAGTTGAAATAATCTGAAATTATCAATCATTAACACTTTTATAGACGCGTCATTTCATTTTCTCTAAGTGGATTTAAATTTCTAAATCAAATCATTCATTTCAATTAAATCAAACAATACTTTTGATATTTCAGGGTTAAATTAACTCAAACTATGGTGCTAGAAAATAGCATAGTAGATTTTCAACTTAATGAAATACTTAGATAGTAAACCTCTTTAAAGTTCGAGGGCATTTATAGAAATATCATGCAAGTTCCTATTGCCATAAGATCCTTAAAAATTACCAGAAATATCAGCTCCAGGCTTGTTCCAAGGTTTATCTTCAATAGTATCAATGTTAAATTCCAAAGCGGGCACTCCATTGATACTCCCAGGACCATCCAAGTCATCTAGAGTTACTTTGCCACCTGTAGTGGTACCAGTGCGAGGTTTCTCCGCAGCACCAGTGGCTACTAAACCTACACCTCGCTGAAAAGAACAGTAGACTGGAGATTTAAAGACCATCTGTCAAGACATATTTACACAAAATATTATGTAATAGCCACAGCACTCTTCACTACATTTTAAGTTTGGTTGCTTATGAAGAAATGTATAAATCATTATATAGTAACGAAATATTTACATAAAACTGGACTTAATGATAATTGATTGACTTAGAAGTTCCATATATGAATTTATTTTTTTTAAATTACTTTTAATACGACTTTCAATTAGTAGTAAATTTACCTTTATATTGAGACTAGCATAAGCCTGGGGTCCTGATTTAATCTCTCCGATGGTAACTTTTATGTCATCACTGTCGTCGGAGTCAGAGTCTCCATTGTTCTGGCTATCTCCGTCTCCATTGCGATCATCTCCTTCACGCGCAACTTCCGCGAAATGTTCGTCGTTAAAATGATCATCAGCAGCTTCATTATCCTCCTGATCCTTATCTTCATTTTCCTGAGGAATTATATTAGTGAAGTAGCAATTTTATCTACTTTGACGATATAATAATTAACACCACACTTTACTTCTGCCAAGGAAATGAGAAATTTTATTCTTATAAGTGTAAATAAATCATAAACTTTCTATTAGTCAACTTATTTATAGGTTATGTTGGTAGACTTACGTTTGCGGTGTCAGCGATATCAGCTTGATCCTTTTCTTTTTCAGCATCTTCTGAAGGTTTGTCTGTTATCTGATCAGGATTAGATTCACCATATAACCAACTATCATCATTTTCATCTCCAGGTGCTGTTTCAACAGCAGCGTCTGCCATTTTTCAAAAAATAAAATTAATTTGTTTGACAACTGATTGGCTTGATTTCAAATTGTCAATTTGATGTGACGTTTCATTTCGGAACAATAATATTGTTCCGAACGATTTATTCATCTCATAGTCACCACAGAGTACAACACAAGTCCACAGATTATAAAGACAGAACGAACTACTCATATTCACGCTTCACGCACTGACCATTTGATTAACATTGACCGACTTAAAAAAAAGGATGTTCTCAGTTTGACCTCTATGTATGTATGTGCGTGATTATCTCACGCATTGGCTAAATCAATTTGAATGAGCAATAAAGAGGAAGTTCAAGTCGGTGTTTTAGACGTTGATTTGTTGTATTAAATTCAGATTAAAACTGGCATCAGATACGCATTATTAATAATATTTATGATCTTTAATGATGCAAGCTATGAATATGACTCATATGTTCACTGTCACGGACATGGCCCAAGAGTTTAGTCTAAAAATGGTCTAAAAGGATAATGTGTAGTCCGGTCCTTTTTCCAACGAATACCTACCTACTTGCTATTCGCGGTACACAAACTATATCCGCAGTAACCCTACGTTATGGACTCACGACGCGATTCTGAATATAGATTTATTTTCAATACTCCCGCAGCCCCCGCGGTTGCGATTCTCGCCTGCAAGCTTGGCGGTAGATTACCGCAGGCGGAAGGGCGGTTAAACAATCAGCTGAGTTTCAGACCAGCGTCCCATTGCGATCGTCCACGAAATAAAACACACTGTGCTTTAATTTTTACATACATATCAAAGAGTATAAGAGAAAATCGCGCGGTGAGTCCTTAGCTTTTCTTAATTATTTTTTAAAGGGGGAAAATCATCGAATTGCTTCTCCCGCCTGGGTGAGGCGAGAGGGAGTGTCAGATTATCACTGACTAAAAACCAACCCGTTCCTACTCCTGCCCTTCGAGCCGGAGCCCCGGAAACCCATTAAGTCATCCACGACTACGTGTCGGCATCGGTCCTATTGGGCCCCATCCGTAGTGGTTTGATGGCTCTTTGAGGCGCGCGCGGAACGCGACGCGCCGTACGGTCTTTTTCTGATCGGGCGGCGAGCCACCCATGTTCGTCCGCCTCCTCCTTAGCTAGCATGACTGCTTCGCAAAAGGAGGAGACGGCATCCCAGTCCCCCTCGCTCCGCATCATGACCCGCACTAGAACCAAACGCGAGAGGTCGCCGACCACCGATCACGTCCCTGAGGGCACGGTGGTGCTCAGCCTACCCAGGGCATTCCGCTACAGTGTGTTTCACCGTGTCCTCACAGTGATGACACCCGGGCGTTTCCTCCCGCCCCATCAGACACAGGTACCTCCCAAAACTTCCATGTCCGATGAGGACCTACGTCTGGCGGGAGGTGAGGCTTGAGAGACTTACCTTAACTAAATTACAAAGCATTAACATGAGAATACAAGCTTGCCCTGCATGGCGTGGTGATAGACAGTAACTACAAAATATTTATTATACCATGCAAATATATGAACTACGGATACTACAGTAGCTTTGCTCACTTATTATAGTAAACCAGGTACAGAGGATCAGGTAATTAGAAAAAAATTTATAAAATTAATACTCTTTAATTTCAGTAAGTTTGAATAAATAAATGATCTATATAAAGATTATCAAGCAATATAGTTATATCACAAGTTTTAGCTGTGCACGGACTTGTTAGTCAAGTCCATTTCGTCTTCGAGGGAACATCTTCTGCTCAGTTTGTTCAACTTTTTGAGCAACATTAGCCAATTGCTCCGATGCATCAGAAGCAGCAGCACCACATGTTTCAGCCAATTCTTGCACACCTTGAGATACCTGTACAAATAAAAAATTGAATGAAAAATTAGCAATATGAACCAAGAGAAACTACAATCTCAACGTCCTCGGCAGGTAAATTACATTTTCCAAATACAATTTCAAGTTTGGAAAAGCACTAGTTGTTTACAAATCATAATCTTTATAAATGGTACAAAAATAACTAAAATAAGTTATGCTTACAGCATCAGCCTCCACCTTCACTTCAGCGGCAGCAGCTTGCATGTTGTTGACTACCTCTTGCATCTGAGCTGTGTGCTGAATAGGTTCCGATTCAAGCACTGATGCTGCCTGAAATTATTAAAAGTTATTTTAATCTTGGTAAATTAAATTATAGCAATATGACTCATCATTAATTTTTTTTTTAATTTTTACTATTTTTAGCATTCCCCTAAGTAACCTGAAGAAGAAGTACCTGCTTGCAGCGGTGCATGCAGTGACAATGGTGCTTGATGACTGGCTCCGCAGCTGCCACTTCATGCATATGCATTTCATTCTGCTGCATCTAAATTTTTATCAAATTACAGTTTAGCAAAATAAACACAAGTTTTACCTGTCTACAATTAATATAAAATTACTAATTTAATGTGTTACTTCTATTCAAGAAATACTTGCTAATATTCGCAACTTCTGTTGTGCATTTCTGCAGTACTTACGTTCTCAACGAAATTCGGGTCAGTATAGTTGTTCAGTTCAGATGCCATGGGCATTGCCTCAGATAGTTTCTCATGCCCGGCCGTAGCATTGTTGATAGCTTGCGCAGTATTGAGCAGGTTCGCAGTAGCAGTATCTCCTTGCTGTCCATCAATAGGAGCATTAGCTGCCAAACCAAGTTTAGCTTCCAACTGTTCAATTCTGCTTTGTAAAATCGAAATCGGATCCATTTTTCAGGTGCTAGTGACTATAAATTAATTATGTAAAAATATATAAATAAAACTAATAACTATTATTCAAATGCCTATTAAAATAAAATAAATGAAAATCGCAAAATTCGAACGTAGACCCACAAGTATTGTTTTTTAGACTGACTTTGACATTTGTTTTGTTGCTATTGCCAGTTCCAAAAGCTTAATTTGTAATTTTGTTTTCAGTTAATTAACAGAAATCTTTTTAATTTTTTAAACCACGAAATGTTTGAAATAGTCGCACTAAATCTGTTTTAATATTAGAATAATATTGTGGATTGATTTGAAACAATTTATTGATTCCAATAGTAAGCTTACTAACTATAACAATAGCTACATAACACGGATTCTACGTAATGACGTGATTCATCGAGGTTGTTATGCTGTCACTGTCAAATTGTCAAAGTCAAAAAGTTTAGATAAGTAGTATTCTGAGAAGCAATCGATGTTGAAAGTTGATATTTTATGTTTACAATTAATTTTAACGACTAAAAAGTGAATATTACAATTTAAATATCAAAATATGGATGAAGAATTAGGTGGATTGACGGAAGATGATTTCTTGTTGCCCCCTGTTAAATACGAGTGTAAGTTGTAAAATGTAGATACTTGTTCATAATAAATTCTCGCAAAATTCGTACAATCAAAATTTGTATTGTATATGTGTATTCAATATCGTGTTCTTATATTTCAGACTTGGACCATACGGCTGATGTGCAGTAAGTATTAATAGCACCTATTTAATTTTCTTTTTAAAAACAGTTTTCCTGAGTACATGATGCAACAACCACATCTAAATTTCTTATCTGATTACTGTATAAAAACATTTCAGTAATTACCGACAGAAATAACACAATTTCTATTTAGTGAGTTCATAATTTCCATTATTTGAGTAATTAAGTAAATCTAGCTTTCTACATAAATATTTGAGGTTATTGCACAACATTAGAATCTCATTAGTCATAAGTTTAATTATATTGATTCCATGTTACTTTGTTTTTGTTCAAAACATTTATTATAGTCAATGGTCTGTCCCTAGATCTAGCTATTAACCATCTATTATTAAATGATATATGTCAAAAGCAAATAAAAATACAAAAAAATATAATTTCAGATTACATGCATGGGGGGACACTCTGAAGGAAGCATTTGAGCAGTGTGGTATGGCTATGTTTGCATATATGACAGAAATGCCATATGTGGAAATCAAAGAAGTGCACACAATAGAAGCCAATGCAGATGACTTGATGGGCCTCCTGTACCACTTCCTCGATGAACTGCTTTTCCTATTTTCAGTTGAACCATTCTTAATATGTAAAAAGTTAGTGATAACAGAATTTAATACAGAAGAATTCAGAATAGTCTGTAAGTGCTATGGAGAAGAGTTTCAACTTGGCAAGCACCCACAGGGAACTGAAGTCAAAGCAATCACTTACTCGGCCATGCAAATAATTGATGAACCAAAGGATAATAAGTATGAAGTGTTTGTTATTATTGATATTTGAGAAATTATATATTTTGTTACAACAGTTATGGTTTTCTGTTACTCTATCACACAACTTACTCTCTCTAATATTTTGATTGTTTGAGTGCCAGTATGGCAAACAATAAATCCTGTAAATTCCGTGATTTTAACTTAAAGACGAATAATGTACTCACGAAACTTCTATCTAGACTGAAACAAGCGACGTGTCTAATTATAACCTGGCGCCATAGGCAAGAACGGCGCCGTGAGACACCTTCGTGTACCCAACTGCTAACTGAGTGGCGGTAGCGGCGCCGAAATTAATAAATTGATTTCCAGTTATTTTTACACTTAAAATATAATCTTTCAAAATAAATCCGTTCTGCATCTGCATCCGCATCGAATCTGCGTCCGCGCGAACTTCTAATAATCTGCATCTGCGGATGTCAACATTTTTGCATTCATAACAAACCTGGTACAAGTTACAGTAACCACTTTTTCGTTTTGAATTACGCCACATTATCCATACGTAGTATCTCTAAGTAGTCATTGACTAGATGTATTATAATAAAAAAACTGTATGACAAGGGCACGGACCTAGAGTCCGTGGAGAAATAATCTATAATATTAAAAAAAAAAATCTCTAAGTAGTCTGACATTATCGCTCACCACCAGGCGAGGTGTTAGACAAATGTCCGAATTCATATTGAACTTTTCCAGTAGTACCTAGTAGGTACATGAACAATACTGCATATAGGGTGTATGGCGCACGGACCGACAATTTTTTCGAATTTGGGAGTTTATTGGCACACTTTTTACCCATAAACCCTTCGTTTGTCACGGTCCCGAACAAGCCGGGTTCCGGAAAGCCTTTAGCATCATAGACCACATTCATACGCAGCGGCAAGTTATACAAAAGACCGAAGAATATAACTTGCCACTATGCTTGGCGTTTGTAGATTATGAGAAGGCCTTCGATTCGATCACTAGTCTCTCCAGCAATGCCATATCGGCAACAGATATATCGAGGTGCTAAATTGTTTGTATAGAAACGCCACCATGCGCATCCGACTCCAGGAAGAGAGCACGGAACCAATCCAATTGCAGAAAGGCGTGAGACAGGGAGAAGTAATTTCTCCGAAACTGTTCACTAACGCATTGGAGGAAGTTTTCAAGCTCTTGAACTGGAGCAGACTTTGCATCAATATCAATGGCGAATACATCACACACCTCCGCTTTATGATATAGTCATCATGGCGGAGTCGCTGGAGGACCTAAATACCATACTCAGTGACCTCAATATCGTCTTCCAACAGGTGGGTCTTAAAGTGAACATGGACAAGACCAAAATCATGTCAAACATCCATGTTGCACCTGTACCGGTACCGGTCATCGTTGGAAATGATATCCTCAAAATTGTAGCCCATTACACATACTTAGGGCAGATCATCCAGCTAGGTAGGTCCAACTTTGACAAAGAGGTCGCCCGAAGAATCCAACTCGGATGGGCAGCGTTCGGGAAGTTACGCGAAAATTGAATCATCGAAAATTGCTCAGTGTCTGAAGACCAGGATGTTAAACCAGTGTGTGTTGCCGGTGATGACACGTGATCACTGACCTCCGGCCTTCTGGAGAAGCTCAAAGTCGCTCAGCGCACGATGGAGATAGCTATGGGTTTCTTTGCGCCACAAAATCCGAAATATAGAAATTCGCCAAAGACCTCGAATTACCGACATAAGTACCTCGCAAAATCTGAAGTGGCAATGGGCAGACCACGTCGGTCGACAAGCTGACGGCAGATAGGCCAGGAAAGTCCTTGAGTGGAGACCACGGACCGGAAGACGCAGACCTCCCCTAGGTGGACGACATCGCCAGAGTAGCAGAGTAGCGCCAGAGTAGGATGCAAATGGCGAGTTATCGTTCGACGTGGAGGACCAAGGGGGATGCCTTTGTCCAGCCAACTTTCGGGTGTTGCTTTCGGGTGTTGAAATGAAATGTCACGGTTAGTCACATACGAATTTTCTTATTGAAATGAAAACCTTTAACTCGAAATAACATTTTTGTTTATGGGTCTAGTGGTCCAAGATAAATTTTGTTTTATAGTCGAAGGTATTAGGTATTAAATCTAAATACATATTTGTTTGATACAAAGGGTTAAAAAAATCTTACAAGCTTCCAAAGTTTAATAAGTTACTCCATCGTCGGCCTCATCATCGCTCACCACCGCGAGTTGGTAGCAGAACGCAATCCTATTAACAGTCACAAGTACTGATAGGTGCCAAGGTCATAATATTTTTTTTTATAACTGATTTAGAAGTTGGAAAATTTCAGATGTGTTAATGAAAAATTAAACTATAAAAGCTTGTAAGAATTGTTTTAAAGCATTTGTATCAAATAAAGATATTTAAATTTAAATTTAATAGACTTTGGAGTACCTACACAACAAAAAGTTATTTTGACTTAAAGGAAACATTTTGGGTAAATTTTTAATTTCAATTTAACAGTTATATGTGACGACCGACGGATTTACTGGTAAAAGGTAGCTAATGGCCTCAAATCCCTAACAAATTATGTCAGTCCATGCGTGAATTGCGCAGAATCCTATACAGAACTTCACACAGAGAATGATTTCTAAGAGGGCTATTACGTAGATGAAGAAGGGTTCCTTTGAGGATTTTAAACGGAGTGGGGGTATTGCATCCTAGTATTCCTTGTTCTCTACTTACCCATCGGGAAACTGGCGCATGGCGATTGGAGAATTCTTCAATCTCTTAATTAGGTAGGAATTCACGATTATCTGTTAACACTAGGCAGGAGATACCACTTATCACTAGGTAGGTATCGAAAAACCATCCAGTAAGTATGTACTTAATTAGGTACTTATCTACTTATTTATTTTTGACTGTCTAGATTATGAGAGATAAATAATACCTAGATACGCATCAACTCGATGGGGTTGTCGTTGGTGACACCCCTAAAATTTGCAACGCCTGAAAAAGGCCGTTAAGCTGCGCCTGTTATTTCATAAGACCTGTATGTATTACCTTAACATGCAAATAAAGAGTTTGAGTTTGAGTTTGTCGGATAGTGTAGCTATGAAAAATCGTAGCTACATAAAAGCTCAAGGAAAACAGACTTTTCTTTTTACCTAAAAAGATCGATGGTTAGTTATGGATCACTTATTCGATAATTTAGCCAATTTCGTCAAAAAGTAAACCATAACAAAGGTTGTCCCTATCACTTCTCTGAATGAGGGTTTGGTTAGATACTCTAAGGCCAAATATCATGACTTATGAACCTGTATGTATGTAGGTATGTATGTTTGTTTGAGCGCGGTTATCTCACGATTGGCTGGACCGATTTTGATGCGGCATTTGGTCCCACTGTCATCAGGTCAGGATCTGATAATGGGATCACAGGGAAACTATAAAAAAAAATTGGGGCCACTAGAGCATTTGTTATTTTTTACCCGACTGCCAAAGAAGGAGGGTAATGTTTTTCGAGTGTATGTAAGTATGTATGTATGTCTTTTCCTTTGTGACCACCTGTAGCCTAAACGGCTTGATGGATTTTGATGTATGAGGTATCGTTAGATTTGTCTTGATTACGGGAGTGTCATAGGATACATTTTATCCTAAAAGTCCCACGGGATAAAGACATAATAATATTTTTTCTAAATTTCCCTTTAATTTCATTAAGAATTTAAAACCACCACATGTGGTGAAGATCTGGAGTCGATATGATGATGGAGCCGGGAGCCATTCGAGGGAATTCCTCGAGGATTTGCGCCTGTGACCCCGTGTTTGGGGTTGAATTATTGTAGTATAATAAACTAATAATTACTTCTGTGAAAAGTTTGTGAATTATGCTAAGAAGTGGAATATGGTGGTAATCTGGTAATATTACCCTTAATCTATTGTCTTCCAATGTTCTGACCACCGTCTTCTTTGACTATTCAGAAGTTAAAACTACCAACTACGGAACCGCCGAGGATTTAACGGGTTGCCGGGGCTCTAGCTCGAAGTGCAGGAATAAGAACGGGGTGGTTTTTAGTCAGTAAGAGTCTGATATTTACTCCCGCCTCACTCAGGCGGGAGAAGTCATTCGAAGAGTTTCCCCCCCTTAAAAAAACCTAACAACGAATAAGGTTTAGTCTAGTTGTATAGCAGTTACATTTAGTTGAAGTTAGAAGGTATCTTCTAACTTCAACACTATTCTGCCTCCGGGTCTTCCGTACTTCAGGTAGGTATTGCGCTAAGACCAGAGGCCTTAGTACGAGTTTGATTTACGTTTAAAGTATTCGAAACGAGTATGCGTTCGGCACTCTTATTGGCCGGCGCCAATGAACCAACCAATCACAGCGCCGAACGCGTACTCGTTACGATTACTTTAAACGTAAAACAAACTCATACTAAGGCCTCTGGTTACCCGCTTACTTCCACTCTCTTCACACTCTTCCACTCGAAAGAACTCAATATACAAATATGCTGGTCTTTCGTAGTATGCCTTAATACTTTACTGACTCATGAGTGATACTACTGATACAATACTGCACGGTTGGTGCGGTGGTTGAGCAACCGGCTGCCGCGCAACGTGTCGCGGGTTCGATTCCCGCATAGAACAACAATTTGTGTGATCCACAAATTGTTGTTTCGGGTCTGGGTGTCATTGTGTATGTGAACTTGTATGTTTGTGAACGAACCCACGACACAGGAGAAAATACTAATGTGGGGCAACGTTTTAAAAGAAAGAATAAAAGAACTTTAACTCTTCAAGTCTTACCTAGGACGGTACCTAAGAAAAGTTTCAAACAAATTGATGTGAGTTGTGGGTTACAGACAGCCGCCCTTAATCCTTATAGATAATATGGATCTTTGCCAACAGCATTCAACGTACGTGGGTCATGACATGAGTATAGAACCAATATCAAACACACTGTATAGTGTATATTCATATTTTCATACAGAAAACTGAAACTAAAAAATGTTCCACGGGTATTGATCCTGCTGCGTCGTTGTGTTGGGAGCTAAATAGTCGGCAGCATTCAACGTCCTTGGTTAGCAGACCTCAAGAGGCTTAGAATTTATTGAATATGGACCAATGATTGACAAAACATAAATACATTCGTAGAAAAATAAAAGTTCTATACTTTCACTTTGTACAAAAAAAGTCTAATAGTCTGATCTGACCTACTCATCATATTAATTAACTGACTTTTTTTACAAATCAAATGGTAAACTAATTAACAGTTTAAAAAAAATAGGACAAGTGTAATCAGTTCCACACTTAAAGGTCCTTAATATTTGTTATATGGCTATTATAAAATTACTAGACGATGGAGTGCTTTGTTATCTTTTAACACTTTTCACTTTAACTATTCATCCATCTTCAAATTCAAGGTGAGCTCACGGAAACAAAATATTTGCGAATACACGATATATTAATCTCAAAAATATATTTGATCGTTATCATTGTGTTAGACTAGAATTTAAGCCAGAATTTAAATTTCTGAACGTTTCTTGTCTATGATAGTGATATCTCGTTCTTTTATACGTATAATCACTTCCGTTTTGTTCGCGGTTTCACTGATGTCCGTATCCGTTTTAAGAAGAATTTAATTACCAATTAATTAAATTTTACTATAATTCTTTAATTAATAGATCACTTTTTAACTAAAAATTTACTATTTATTTTATTAGAATTTGATAAATGTTCAATATAGTATAATAAAAATTCTACTTTGTCTAGTACAACTTTCTTAGCAAGCATTTTATTTTCGATCGATGATTTGATATTATATTTAACTGTACAATATCGAACCAAAATTTATTTTTTATAAATTGTATAGAGTTCTCGAAAGTTTGTTATACTATCTCTGTAATTTTCTTTCAAATTAATATGTAATTCTACTTAGAAAATAATTAGTAAATAGGCTAATAAGATTCTACTTAGATTGTGGGATACGTTTCTAAATTTACGCTAAGACTGTAAATTAAACTGTAAATTGACATATCTAAGTATTTAATCACAAGAGAATTAATGCACTGCACATAATTCAAATCATAATATTTTGTTTTTATTCTACTAGTCTTATAGTACAATAAGGTAGATGGGATTTAACATTTTGTCTTCGTATTTACTATCAATCGTGTCATTCTACAAAAAGTTATTCAAGTAAATGAAAATCTAGTACTTAATATACCTTTTATCATTCAATAATAAATTCTTTTTTACGAAAAAATTTAGGAAACTGCGAGATGATGTTAGGTATTCGAAATTAAATTTTTCTACCGATACGTGTAACGATAAATAAATTCCTAAAATATCAATTAGGTACCTTACGACATAGGTACATCGTACATAAACCTAAAATATTAAAAAGTGGGTAGGTATATTTATAAAAGTAACTAACAAAAATAGCTTTAACTTTGGTCTCTACAAAATGCAACTAACGTCTATGAAGACGCTTCGTTCCTCTGGGCCTCTGAGCCAAACCGGTCGAACAATGGAAATTCAAAAATTCGTTATATTTTTTATGGCTTCTTCAACGAGGGGAGGAATTTGGATCACGAAGCGGCGGCGTCCGCTAGGGGTTGCTCGCTCGGTCGCTTCGCGCCTGCGCACGTAGTTCGCGCCACTGCTACGTCGCTTGCAAGCCAGATGTTCTGAAAAGCTTCCTGTCGCCGTTTCAATGCTCCGCATTTTTATCTAATAAGTTATTGTAAAATGTGGACTAGGACCTTTTTAATATTTTCTTTTATGAGTGAAGTAATCAGTGAATAAATATCATGTGTATTGGATAAACTGTGTGTAGTATATTAAAATTATCGAGCGTCTCGATGTCCACGAGTTCACTCGGGACCAACAAAGCGGCGGACATTTTATTTTGAGTACTCGATAATGTAGCGTTCGCGTCGAAAACATTAATGTCGTTTTATGGTTATAAATTCGGATATCGTTCGCTTACACCTTTTGTAAGTATTGTTATTTCACAGTTGGTATTTTGTGCGTAATCCTTGAATGTGTACACTTAGGTTTAGAAGCGGTTATGCCCAGGTATCACCGCTAGGTTGTCGATATTTTGGGGAAAATGTCGTTGAAAAAAGTGACGTAAGCAAAACTGGACAGCTGGAAGTGTCGCCTTGGACCTTTGGTATTAAATTCAGTCCGTTAAACTTGCTATCGACCCACTCCGCTTCGGAGGCTTCTTGTTCGTGATTTCCGCGCGCACGGCGCCCCTAACCTATACACTAATTGAATTGTGATGATTATGGTGCATTACTGTAGAAAAATGATAGGTTGATTGATTTGGTAATATGTTACTTATGATCATTAACAGCGATGCCGAGAGGGGTGAAGCGAGGGCCGGCGGAGGGCGAGGCCGAGGTGGTGGTTCGCGCTACTGCGTCTCCTTCACATACCACGCTATTGGACGACAGTCCTAGCCAGCCCATTAGCTATCACCTGCTAGACCACGGCTATGGCGCCACGCCACAGCACCAGATCAGGCGCGAGGCGCCTACGGCACCGCCGAAGACGTCTGAAGTAAGTTTCCTTAGAATGTTTTAAGTTTTTATGCAACATATTTTGATTACTAATCTACTGTGAAAAGTCTGATGTTTATAATATTCAGAAAAAGTGGGTAAGGTTGGTTAATTTATAACTTAGTACACTAAGATCTCATATAATTTAAGTTATTTGCAATTGGATTCAAGTAACAAGTTTACTTATGGTCCACAGCTCCACATGAAACTGGCAAGTGGGGCGTAGTGGTTGTTAGTATTCACATAACTTATTGGGATTGTAGTGAAGTGCCATTTATTAAATGAAACCCAAGTTATCAGTATTTACTGAATAATTCATGACACTGATGCTGTATGATGTGGCATTGGGATAGATGTCAACTTTAAGTGACATGCAATACTGTCATTACAAATGGAAGTCATTTTTGATTTGCACAAATCATCATAACAGCGACAAGGTATCCACTGCTGAACAAATCAAAATTAGATCAAAATACTCTTTTATCTAATGTGTGTTAGTTGATTCATGACATAGATTTATTTGACCCTTCTACACAGTCATCGAGAAGTATTTACTTTTATTTCAAGTTATCTATCATTCATAAGTATAATTAATCAGAAAACAAGTCATGTTCTTTGTTTCTGAGTGAATTAAAAATATATAACTGTTGATAGTTTTCTGGAAATTTACACTAGATTACATCATTAGAAGTTCTTGTAAAACATTTGAGTTTTCTTTAAAAATATATACAGACATTATGTAATAACAACATAATAAAATTGTTTGGTCATTGAGTTTGATACATCTTTTATTCAAGAACATAAATTATTTGAGTGTTGTGTGACACTCAAATGTTATTTAACAAAACTTGCTCGAGTAAGTTAAGAATGTTTGGTTTCTTGAGGATTGCTTTATATCAACTTGGGAATAGATTTATAATTATTATTTATGTAGGTATTCCTCAGGTTGAGATTCACAAGTATTCAGAGAACATAGGTTGTACAGGAGAATTATAATTAACTTTGATATGGAATAATAATCATCTTGATAAGATTTGTTGTCATTGACAAGCATAGGTACTGCAAATGACTAATATTGTTATAATGACATTACCATCTTGACTATTCAATGATTTGGCCAATAAATCATTTGTTTTAAGGTTAGGTTGGTAACAACTTCAGGATGGACAACTCATGATCATTTGATTATAGATATTTGTCAAAATGTTTCAACTGTAAATCACAGTCACATACAAAAAATATTTTGATAGAGTATAGAGACAAATTGATGAATGATGGAGTTCCATGAAACTATTGATTTCTTTAACATTGAATAGCTATACTGAAATTATCAACTGTTTTATGTATTCAATGCAATTTTTTCCTTTTACATATTAACATAATCATTCAAATATGATATGAATAATACAATTGCCATTAAATACATAGCATTTGTTAAATAATAATCTCAGTGGAAAGCAGGATTGAACTTAGATTAACTAAAAATAATAATAATGAGGTCATTGGTCTCTGAAGGGTCAATGTACTGGACAAATAGAATTCTGGAAACTCAAGGAGGAAGATAATGGACCACATTTTTAAAATTTTAATCATTTTCCAATTAGAAAAGTTCTACAAATGCTGTATATGTTTTTTTGGGCAATTTAAAATGTTCAACCACTAGGACAATTATTCCTTTTAGCTTAAATCTGTGCTTAAACCTAAGAACATGTTACCTATTAAACTTTTAGTTAAATTGCTTGTTCAAATTATAATTGACCTTCTTTCTTCTAGTTATTTTAAATCTTACTTATTCATCATTAAGAAAAATATTTTTTTTACATTACTCATGTATCATCTAATTCTTATGAGTTACGGAAAACATAACGTAAATTCTGCAAATCGTAATGATTGTGACGAATCAAAATGGCGGATCCTAGACGACATAATTTCGTGTGTGTAACGGTGGCGAGTACACTAAAAAGTGTTTAGTTGTGGGACCCTACGCGGGACCGGGCCACCGACCAATCACAGGACAGACGCTACACGAATTCTGTTTAAAATTTCTCCGGCTCTCCGAGACTCCGACTCATACGTTAAACAATCCCCATCTAAATTTTACTAATCTAATCTTTTCCAACTGCTCCGTAATTATTCCGATTTATTTATTTTAAGATAAACATAATAATACAGTTTTTGCGTTTTAAAATATTGTATCGAAAACAGTATTTGTAGCTCTTAATACTGATAATTTTTTAAAGAAATAACAGCATTGAAACTATACTTATTTATTAATTCTCCTAAAAGGTAAAAAAGTACCAACGTTAGTAAAATTGCACCTTATTTTTATCGATAACGTCTCGATAAAGGTGTCACTTGATTCTAACGGTACAGGAATGCTGTCGTTTTTATTAGGTTTCTTTATCTTTATTCAATTAAACTTGTTCACATCTGAAATTAATATTATTTCAAGGCATTCTACTCTTCTGCCTGTTCTGTAACGTGTCGATTATTTTAACCGAAAAAAAAAACAACATGGCGGTCGCTTCACGCCAAATTTGAGACTTTGAACGGTACGCTTCTAGTAACATAGCCTGCACTTTCAAATCACAATACGAAAAACTACCTACCTACTTCTTACAAGGTTTATAGGTGTGGGGTGTCCTTTGATAATGGAACATAATGATACCTTCATTGACACGACGAAATGTTAAAAATAATTTTGGAATCAATTAGGCAATTAGGTAGGTACCTAGTTAAATTTTAGATCACTTAATGAGTTTAAAGAATTTTAAAGGTTATGCTTATAAAAACCTTTTTTCAAGATGTAATTTTTTTAAGTTATCTTGAAGTTATCCCAATGATCGGCGCCGTGGGGCTTTTGGGCCATTCTAATCTTTCAGTTACCCCAATTACGCTTTTCTCGTTCGCTCTGCGTTTGCTAAAGGAGAGTATCCTTGAATAATGGTTTAGGTGCCACGTTACAAGCGTATAATTATAGGATTAAGTAATGTCAGCTGGAGGTATAACCTTAAACTTGTAGTTGTCGAGCTACACAGAGCAGCGGGCGCGGCAAATGTAGGCAGGCACATATGTTAGCAGTATATCATGTGTAGTGGCGTTCACCCGGCGCCATGTGGGTCCAGCACTAGAGCACCACGTGACCAGGTACTTACTTCCTGTCATCACACTTGTATTGCACGTTTTGGGTCATTGTCCTTTATCCCTAAGTCTAACGTCTCGTGCGAACTTTGATCTTTCATCAAGGAGATCCCTTTTATATTATTTGGGTTGATTTAATTTATCAAATAGCACAATAGATTTTTTCCTTCGTATCAAGTTAATGTAATTTATTCGATCCCACCGGTTGCATATTTATTATTATTACGCAGCATACGTTTAGGGATGTATTGATGATGCGAACAGTTTTGCGTTAACAGAAGGGCTGTTTTGTCTGCTTAGATATTGAACCTCGTGTCACATCTGCTCCGATTTACTTGCCGTGCTTAGTCCGGGACAAAGACGAGCGGGACCCACAAATCCGGCAAATTAACAATAGCGCCTAGTTCCCTATTAATAATAATACAAATATTCCAAGATAAGAAATTGCCGTTCTTTCGCCAGAGGTCCCTTCCGAGAGCTCGGCGGCTTTTGTGTTGATTCTAATTTATGTCATGTATTGTTGTTACCGGGTACCCTCCCCACACACTTCCTTTAGGGGCTTTGGCCCCGTTGCTAGTAAGAATTGAAATTGTTGCATGAGCTTATCGAAATTGCTTCGTGCATCTTCCTCACTGCTCTCCGCGACTACTTCGGTGTCTCGATTCCTTTCTTTTTTTAATATATCCGCAACTAGTGTTGGTCATAATTTGCCGATTATTGTTGTCGTTGCTATTAATTAAGATGGGGTCAATGTACAGTTTAGAAATGGGAACAGTAGTTATAAATTGTTCCGTTGAAGTGTTAGGGAGTGTGAAGTAGGCGTTTCAGTTCTTGTAGTGTAATGAGTGATGTTCAATTGAAGAGATTAACAATGACTTACTTTGTGTTCAGTACTATTTTATTACAAGAAGTGATGTGTACAGCCCGGTTTACATTGCAATACATGCACTATTGTCTACCTGTTTCGTCTAGTGTGAACAATGACTGAAGTAGAATCGTGTAACAGTGTGTGCAAAGCTTAAAAGTGGCCGAAGTGTCAACGTGCTTTTAATTTTTATCAAATGGTATTGTGGGCAATGCGTGACATCATGGGGGTAAGTTGGAAAATTGATACCACATATTGATTACATTATAATTATTTTTGTGAAACAAACGCGGGTAATGGGAACAAATAATACAAAAAGCAACATAATGAAATAATTGATAAGGGTTGTACCCGCGCGTACGTTTGTTTAATTAGCAGGTGCATGTGTGTAGGTAATTACGTGGCTATCTAGTATTGTAAATAGATATCGAATCTCATCGTTTCACTTGGTACACGATTACGTCAGCAGAACTTGATCACAAACCGTTACTACATTGTTCATAAAATATTTTCTACGTATTTTTAATCGATAAACGGACCACGATATTCTCTGAATTCCGTGTTCTATTTTAAAGGTTATCGATGACGTTTAGAACTTTAAACTTTTTTAGGTTGTAAATCTTTACGTCGAGAATAATCGACGGCTTAAAGATTATCGATTCATTACGTATGACACAAGTATACCTATGTTTTTCCTGTACAGGATTCATTATTCAGGTACATATATATTGTTGTGGTTATTCATTAAAAGGTTCTTTTAGCTGGTTAACATTTCTTCACTTGCACACTTTCATTCCACAGCTTCACTCGTCATCTTGTGATAGGAAGCCATGTGCGAAGCCAGTGCTTTATTCACGGCATGTATTCATTCCTATTTTCTATAGCTACACAAAAACTTGCAAATAACAATGCATTTTTACTTAACCATCACCTGAATTTAATTTAATACGTGGTTGTCATTTGAGGTTACGCTGAATACGAGGTGTCAAAAAAGTTTTTAAGTCCAGAACGGATAGCTCAACGAAATTAGCATAAAATATGCAATGCATTAGTGAAATGTGAATTTTTGATTGCGTTTTATACAATTCATAGTTCAGATATGACGCACGCCATGTTTTTGGCAAGTAACAAAAGGGTTTGGCTAAAAAAGGTCCTGTAAAAAGAGGTTGTAAAAATGTTGGGTGTATTGTTAGGCTTCTATACTCACTACTCATAAACTATAATGAGCAAGCATGCGAAACGTTAATGTTCAGGTAGTCTCACATAGTAAAGAAATAAAAACGGACTTTCAATAGCTCATTCTTTCGTTTTATAGGATTTGTTGGAATTTGTACTCAACAAAAAAGGTTTTTTCACATAGTAATTAAACATAATAGTAATCAGAAAGCAGTGTTTACTAAATTACTTGTAGCCTTCTAAACTGATTTTTTGAGAGACATGACATGATAAGATCAAGATATAGATGCCGTGCAATATCCGTAGTAAACGCTATTGAATGCCGCAATTTAAGTACAACTAGTAATTCTCATATTTTATAATTTATCAGTCAGTATTTAGTTTTGTATTTTCCTGATGTGACATTCCTGTTCGAAAGCGATCGCAGGAACTGCACTGTTGTTTGCATATTTGCATATTACTATCTTACTAACCTTACTTTATTCGTGGATTACCTGCGACTATGGACATATGTCTTATGGGACTATCAATACTATATTTTCACAATTCATCGAATTTTATCAAATTATTTTATGGACAGCGTGTTGCGTATCTAAAACATTTATTCGACTATATATAGGACGACTACTACGTTCTTGTGTATACGCGATTGTTAGAATAATGAATAGATAGGAAATGTGACGGCAAATAGATAACTTCGACTTGTCAAACCCGTCAGAACGGTGTTCTTCTCGTTTTGTAACGTCAGTTTGATTTGATGTTGTTCTCAGGCGGTGAAAAGAAGACTGAACTTGAGTGAGAGCAGTTCCGGCAGCCAGGGTCACGTGGTGCCCATGAAAGCCGACTTCAAGACGCCGAAACAGAAACGCGTCAAAGTCCTCACGCCGTACAGTCGACCGTCCAGTTCTATGAAAAAGTACACCGAACGTTCCAGGTACTTGTCTCAGTGAGAGGTAAATTTCCATTTTAGAGAGTAGCTTTTTATGTAGTTAAATAGAAGATCGAAGTTTTTGAAAAAGTGCTCGCCGATACAAAAGCTGAAGTTTTTTGCTAGAACACCTCGAAAGAAGTGGCCATAATCGAGTGACGTGAAGATGTAAGCGGAATACTTGCAGACTGAAATATTGAGTATTATGAGTGGAGTAACAAACCGACAAACATCGTGATATCGACTTCAGAACATTTGCGAGAGTCCTGAAGACAATCCGTCATTGAATTTGACTTCATTACACCCTGGTGATAATGAAGAAGAAGAGAGCCAAAGGGTACAGCGACTTCAGAGAGAGAATAGTACATTTGCGTTGTAATAGGCCGGCTTGTTTCTAAGCATCGTATTATTTGTTTCAGGTTTGACACATCATTAGGTTTACTCACAAAAAAGTTCGTTGCATTGCTGAAGTCTTCACCCAATGGCGTCCTAGACTTGAACATAGCGGCAGAACACTTATCGGTCCAAAAACGTCGTATCTACGACATCACAAACGTTCTAGAGGGTATAGGAATATTAGAAAAGAGATCCAAAAATAATATACAATGGAAATATGGTAAGTGATCTTTACCAAAGGTCGCGTTATTAGTTTAAACGTTATAAATAAGGTTATCGAATTTATAGTATTTAAGATATTAGTTATAAGGTTCACACGAACAACAGTTGTGTTGTGATAAAATCATAAACAGAAAACGCGACGATTCCGTTAAATATGTACGTAAGGGAAGGTCTAAAATTTTAACGCAATGTACTTTGGGATTCGTTATCCCCTCTTTATGACAACGTGCGAACAAGATTGGAATAAGTATAAACCATCAAGTTTGTAGAAGCCAGTCATTTACTACGTCAAATTTATTCTATTATACTTATATTAGGGGTATGAAATAGGACCAGTTACCTGATTGTAATTATGGTTTGCATAACAATGCTGCGGCGATGTCACGATGCTTGTTGGAGGGAGAACCTTAATTTTAATCTATTATTAAGAATTGATACATTTATTTTCATCACACCTGGGAACATCAATGAGAATATAGTACGTGTGTAGTTGAATCAAGAATTCAGATTTTCTGAATTTCTTGGTGGTTCACTTCGTGGCTGGAATTGTGCACATTTTATCGATAAAATCAGTTATGTTGACTATTCCGGAGTGAGTGAAGCGAGCAAAGGATCTCGGGTTTGATTTTCGGGTCAGGCAAATTTTCAGTAGTAGCACGAAGCCTAGAAGTGTCCCATTTTACATGATAGCCTTATATTGTGCAGTTTCACTTAACCCATCGAAAAATTAAGGGCCTGATGTCGTTTAGAACGTCTGAGCATAAATTCGTGAGGTCTTCGAGATAGCTAACATACTCTCAGAGACATGAGGATTGCCATGATCACAGCCAAAATCAATTTGACTGGTATGATTAGTCAATTAGGACGCTGCTGGCTAAAATTGAATACCTAAATTTTGTGAGTGTGTCAGTACGGAGTATGTGGTTGCAGGCGTGGGCGGGGCGGGC